ACCAAGATCTGGGCCCTCAGGATGCTCATGGGTACATGGGTGTCAGTTTTTGTTTTTGGTTTTTTTTAGATCTTCTCAGTGAACACAGCTGGGAACAATAGGTGTGCATACTAATCCTCCCCATCTCGATCTATTTCTGCATGTACGTATATGAGTATATATCTATTATCCATCCATCTATCCATTCATGCATCCATGCATCCAACCATGTATCCATCTACCTATCCATCCATCCATCCATCCATCCATCCACCCAACCACCCAACCACCCATCATTCATCCACCCACCCATCCATCCATCTATTTAAAACTAGGAGCATCCATCTATGCATCCATGCATCCAACCATGTATCCATCTACCTATCCATCCATCCATCCATCCATCCATCCACCCAACCACCCAACCACCCATCATTCATCCACCCACCCATCCATCCATCTATTTAAAACTAGGAGCTCATACTAATACTTCCAATTCCAACTCAACACCACAAAGTTCATTTTAATCTTCTCCCTTGCCTATTTGTAACCTCTTTCTCTGACAGTGAGCAACTTGGCTCTCACTACCCACAATATACTTACTTATTTGTTCAATCTTAGTATATACATCAAGCAATTTCAGAATCGTTAACCCAATATACTCCTATAAGAAACACATTTACTAACTGGAGTATACCATTTATGATTTTTTTTAACCTTATAGTATTTGATCAAAATACTGTATCCAAAGTTACTTAGGTTAGGTTTTTTTCTTTCCACTCCTTTCGATTGGTTATAGTAACTATGTAAACATTTGTATTACAGTTAGGTTCATCTGTTAATGCTTGTATCCCAATACAGGTCTTTCCCACATGACGGGTGGTTTGAACTGTATGCTTATTTTTGGGTTATGTGAAACAGGACTGCAATCCTAATCAGAGCTGTAAAGAGCTGAGCTCAGCCCACTCCCAGTCCACACCTAAACCCTTCCATTTCTAGTTCATTCTTCCTGTCACCTATCTTGTTTTATCTTGTACCAAGCCAGATTCATGTTTGGGCTTTGTACTTGACAGGACTTCAGTACATGTTCGACACTAAACTGTTTTCTTTAGTGGCTCCTACTGAGTCCTGATTTCCATGCTATGTCTGCAACTTCTTTACATAATGCAACTTGCTTAACAAAAGGCTTTGAGGAAAATCACAGCTTTCCTTAATTGGGCCAGTTCTAAGATAGAAACCAGCAGCCACTCAGGAAAGTATCTATATATATAAAACCCTAAGCGACCATTACGACCAAACAACCGGAATGACTGGAACAGCCGGTCAACCTGTCGCTATGACGCGTACTGACCACCAGGGGGCAGATGCTCAACGCAGGAGCTGCCCCCTGGGTCAGTGCGCTCCCGCGCCCCCCCTCTCTCCCCAGCCGGCCAGCCAACCTCCCGCAGGCCCCTCCCCATAGCCGGCTGGCCCACCGATAGGCCTCAATCACCAGCCAGGCCGAGGGACCCCACCCATGCACGAATTCGTGCACTGGGCCTCTAGTTAGTTAATAATAGTGAAGCCTATTACTCCTCTTGGATGTGAAGGGCCACAGGTAACTAGAAGTCAGCTGGACGGAAATTCTCGAGCAACATTTTCAGATTTCTGCTACATCCCTCCCCCTGCTTTTTAAAAAAATGTAGCACCTCAAAACAATTTGACAACATGGGAAATTATTTGTAAATCTCTGAAAAACTTAAGATTGAAAGGATTAAGAGTTGTATAAATATTTGCAATAAAAAATTACAAGTAAAAGCTGTGGTATTAGTACTTTTGGTCACAGAACAACCTCTTTAATGCTCTAGTTGTTCATTGTCCCTGTAATCAGTACTTGATTATCAGATTAATGAGGAAGGGAGCCACCAGAGATGAATGGGTAAAGATAAAAACAGTTTAAAAAACTATGGGAAGAAAAGCCAAGTGTTTTGCAAGGGAGGAAATTGGCACCAGCGACCATGTACTTGTTTTCATATCCAGAGAACACTTGAATCCAAACCTGAAAACATACAAACTTCAGGATGAGGGTAATGTGATGTGGAAGTCACACACCATGACGTTTCCAAGAGAATAATTAAATGTTTGACAAATTCTGCAGTAAAGATAGGCCTTTCCATATGTGAAGTGTTTCCAGTCACTGAAACCTCGTTTTACCCTGACAATTAGACCACCTACTGATGTGAGGCTGCACGGGTAGGATTATGGGCTTGAGGAATATGGAAACGGTTATGGGCAACCCCATAATTTATTCGTTTATTTTATAAGGGGATCCAGAGTCACAGTCTACGTTAATCCTAGAAATATTCTGCCAATTCAGGGGACTTCAGTAGCACATTAGAGGCAGGGGCATCCAAGTCAAGACAGACTGAGGGATGACTCCTGGCCTGGCCACTGCCAGCTGTGTATCACTGGGTTGGAGAGCCTCCTAAGCCTTGGTTTCTTCATCTCTCTCATGGTCACAGTCATATCAACGCATAGGTGTGTGAGCTTTAAACTCAACGTGAAGCACTCAGCAGTGCCCAGCACAAAGCAGGCACACCATTGGTAAGCACAGCCTAGTGGCTAAGGGTGAGGTCTCTGGACCCAGCCACCACTGCTAGGATGCTGGCTCAGCCAGTCATTACTGTGTGAGCTTCGAAAAGTTACTTGCCCCCTCTAAGCTGCTGGAACAGGGCCAGATTCGTTGCACTCTAAAATATTAGGGAGGATGACTGACTAGAACTGTTCAGTCAGCCCGGGAGAACACGGGGAGAGCCCGGTGGTGGAAGTAAACCGGTACACAGAGCACCAGGTACACAGAGCATAGGTCAACAGCTTGACTCCACGGAGGCTGACCCCACCCACCTGCCCATGGTGTGTCAAGAGCAAAGCTGAAGTCAGGAGGACAAGAGCGAGCACACCTACAGAAAACCTATGACAGCCACTGGGCTGCAGGGAACAAAGAACCCTTGCTCAGGTGCTATGCAAACCCTACTCTGCAGTCAGCCTGCTACACAATCCTTGGTTCCAGAGAGAACACACCTTTGTGGTGAGCGCGATGCTAAACTCTAGAGTCCTGGGTGCCCGCTCCCTTCTCTGCAATCATTCATTCTTTGGCATATTTATTTAAACGGCGCATCTTCCATAAATGCCACATTCCACCTCATGAAAAAAATCAATAGAAAGAAAACACATGGGCTGTTATGTCCTTATTTCTAAACATGATAATAAACTATCACCTCTCACTGTATTGACACTGCTACATAGGAAAAAGCTATTTGTACCTTCTGCCACTTATAATCACATGAACTTTCTGGAATATTTTTTCCAGGCATGGCTTTCTCTCTCATCCTTTTTCTTCCCTCTTAAGGAAACAAGTGGATATGAAGAAGGGGCATCCCAGGTTTTCTAGTGCAGAAATACCTCCAGGCCCACATGCTCTCATCCTCTATTCAAGGATCTTCTGAAAGTTCAGTTTCCTTATAACTCGTACAGAAGCAAAACTTAATCTGAACTGACCCAAGCATGTAGATTTGAAAATGTGAACATCACACCAGGTCACAATACACTGCCCGAAACCCCACTAAGGGCTCTGATTGGAATGTGCACTCTTTTATTCTCCTAAAATCTGTATCACTGGTCCAAAAACCCCTAAATTTTTCACTGAACTGAAGCAGGCCCCAAATTTTCAGATCCAGGATTGTGGACCTCTAGGTGTTACTGATGCTGTTATGTTACAAACACAGCTTTGTGAAAATAGCTGGTGAGGAAGATAATGCTAGTTTTCTTTAAACCACTTCTTTTAAAACCGGAACTTGGCTGGACCTTCAGGTTGCTGATCTCATGATTTAAAATGGGAAAGAGTCACTCAGGAACTTCGCCCCAAATTTTGTCTACCCCTCAAATGACTGCAGGGCAACTCATAGCATCCAAAGATTGCAGAAAACATCCAGAGATTCAGCACATACATGAGCGGACCTGTGGGGCCCACATGGGGCCACCAAGAATATGCACGTTCCTTTTTAGGGGGCACAAGCTTGTGGGAGCAATTCAGTTGGAAGCCTGGCCTGCTCAGGACCCTGTAAGGCTTGGGTTTAAATTCCTGCCCCATCCACTTGCAAGGCACACAGTGTGGGCAAGTTTATCGTCTCTCTGGACTTGAGTTTCCCATGGGTAGAGCAGGAGAATACCACCTCCTATTAAGGACTACTGGACTGAAACTAAACAATGCGCCTAATCCACAGGAATACAGGTTAGCTGCTTTCCACACCCTTCCTACACGTTCTTTCCTCCTCTGGGGGAGACACCATCTAGCGACAAGTTGTAAGGTAGAAAGCTCAGTGATCATGTTCTTCTATGTGGACAAGCTCAGGGAGGCATATGCATTTCTGGTGCATGTCTATTATAAGGTGGGAGGATACAGATTGATACCAAGGTCCTTGAACCAAACTTGACATCAGAACCTCCAAGGAAAATAGTTCATTAACAGAGATGGGGGAATGCAGGGAGACGAGCTGTAATGCAGGGAGAGGAGCTGTCTGGGACCCAGGGGGCTGGGGACAGAGATGTCATTTAGGAACACCTGGGTGTGGCTGCGCTGATTCTCGATTTGGCTGAAGAACTGGGAAAGCCCAAATGCATGTGGACCTTTTTACAATCAACAGTTCTCTCCCCTGGCTGCACAGAACACCAGGCCCACCCAAGATTCAGCTGGTATGGCATTTTCAAGGTCTCCAGGCTGCTGCCCACAGATTGAGGGCATATGCTCAGATGCAGCCAGGGAGGGCGTGTTCCAGATGCCCCTTTCCTCCCCAGGCTGAGAACACAAATATTCCCCCCACCCCACCCCACCCCTCCTGCTGATTAGAAAAGGAAAAATACACAGCAGGGGCCCCAAATAGCCCAGGAGTTATCAGAAGCACAGGACAGAGAACAAACATTAATGTGTAACTGAATAATGGTTATTTGTGCCACACGCCCGAGATTCACCAGCACTCTCCTACCTGGGCTCGGTCTCCCACTCCTCCTCGTCCTTGTCTTTCTCTTCTTTGGTGTCTCCAGAATGCGGGTGTTTCTGCACGATTCGCATTCCACCAGCTTTCACTAGAAAGAAAGCGAAGAGGGTGTGGTCAGTGTGGAAACGGAACCTCCGGAGGATCAGGGGAACCAGCTCCAAAGTTTTTAGTTGCCCCATGGCCACCAGTTAGTTCAGATAACCTGGCATCAATGGCAGTGATTAACAGAAAGTTAGTGCTGTTGGGGGAAGAGTCACTATGACATAGCACTCAGCCCAGCCTTACAGATCCACTTAGAAACTCCCCATGGCTCCTGTTTGCTTTTGGTCTCATAAGTATTTCATAAGAGCAGTAGTGTAATCAGAGTACGAATCATTGGACAGAGTGGCTGTTGCTTTAGGTCCTGCATGTCTTCTTGACACAACAAGATCCTACTGAATCCCTGCCCTGTGATACTTTCTCAAATAATGATGATGCTTAAAAAAAAAAAATTCTGACTAGTCCTGCATTAGTTTTTATTTTTCAATTATAGTTGACATACAATATGATATTAGTTTCAGGTGTACATCATAGTGACTCAGCATTTACAAACCTTACACAAAGTGATTCCCATGTTAAGTCTAGTACTCATCTGTCACTGTAGTTATTACAATATCATTGACTATATTCCCTATGCTGTACTTTACATCCCATGACTTATTTTATAACTGGAATTTTGTACTTCTTGATCCCCTCCCCCTTTCACCCATCTTTCACCCTCTCCCCTTTAGCAAATATCAGTTTGTTCTCTGTATCTATGAGTTTGTTTGTTTCATTTTGTTTGTTAGATTCCACCTGTAAGTGAAATCATACAGCATTTGTCTCCAATGATGCTTCCGATGGGGTGACACAGCTGCAGGTGACATGGGGCAGCTGCTGCCACATTCACAGAGGTTGCTCAGGTGGCAGCCAAGGCGTCTGCTGAAGCCCTTCCCAGACTGTGCTGTGAAACCGAGTGCTGGTAGATGTCAAGTTAGTTTTTTAAAACAGCTTGACATATAATTCACATACAATTCATCCATTTAGAGCGTACAACTCAATGGTGTTTGAGTGTATTCGGAGTTGTACAACCATTGACACGATCAACTTGAGAACATTTCATCTCCCCAAACAGAAACCCCAAATCACAAATGGTCACCCCCTAATCCGTCCTCTCCCCCAGCAACCAGTCATCTGGATTTGCCTATTCTGGACATCTGACATCAATGGAATCATAAAATGTGTGGCCTCTGCTGACTGGCTTCTTTCATTCAGCATGTTTTCAAGGATCATCCATGTTGTAGCATGTGTCAGTATTCATTCTTTTTTATGATTGAATAATATTCCATTGCTTGGGTAGACCACATTTAGTTCATCAAATCATCTGCTGATATACATTTGGTTGTTTCTACATTGGATGTTGTAAATGATACAGCCATGAACAACTTGTGTACAAGGTTCTGTGTAGATACATGAACATATACCTTCATTTTCTTGGGTATACACTTAGTAGTGGAATAGCTGGGTTACAGAGTAACTCTATATTTACCATTTGAGGAACTCTAAAGCCACAGCATCATTTTCTATTCCAACCAGTCTGAGGGCTCCAATTTCTCCACATGCTCACCAACACTTGTTACCACCTATCTTTTCAGTCATAACCACCCTAGTGGGTCTGAAGTGATATCTTATTGTAGTTTGATTTCCATTTCTCAATGGCTAATATATTAGTACTGTTTTGTAAGAAAAAAAAACAAAAAAAATGTGGACTCTAGGATTTGTTAAGTGTGGGAAATGCTAGGTTGAACAGTATTAAATGGGTTTCTTCAAGCCAGATTTCTTGCCCCCTAGTGTGCATTATGAAGCTCTGTGAGGCACAGTGTGCTGTCTTTCCCAAATGCCTTTGACCACAGAACTTTTATCCCAAGTTATCATCCTTTAGGACTATAGTGTTCCACAGGATAGAGTTTGGAAATGCTGGCCCTGTTTAAGAAAACCAGCCTTATGTGGTCACTAGACCGGGCTTTGTGTCAGTAAGCTCCTCCATGTCCTCACCTATGTGGTCTCAGACTCGGCCCCTTAAAGTCTCGCTGTTTCATCTGCAAAAAGGGGATTAGAGCAGCATCCTAAAATCTACAAATCTGAATGAGAAGAGGCTGTTGAAATCCTAATCCACAATGTGATGGTGTTTAGAGGCGGGGCCTTTGGGAGGTGATTAGGTCATGAGAGTGGAGCTCTTAAAAATGGAGTTAGAGTCCTTATAAGGAGTCCCCAGAGAGCTCCCTTGCCCCTTCCACCACGTGAGGACAGAGAAGAACCAGGAAACGGACCCTCACTAGACACCAAATCTGATGGCACCCTGACCTTGGACTTGCAGCCTGAAGAGCTGCTGTTTATAAGCCACTGGTTTGTGGTAGTCTGTCAAAGCAGCCCAAATGGGCTAAGACAGAGGCGTGTGGTAGCCTTGGCACAGGCAAGAATATGAGAGAAAGCAGAGCCACGCAACTGCACTCATGGCCCCCAAGCTCAGCATCCCCCACCCTACCCCCCACAGATGTTTTCAAGAAACCAAAAGTAAAAAGGGCTGTGCAAGTGACTACAAAGAAAACAATGCATGTCCAGGTGACATTTAAAATAACCGTCAGCTGAAGCTCACACGGAGTGGTCTGTCCACCCCTCTGTTGAAGTAAGTCCACATGACAAAGCTCAGTCACTCTGCATTAGCCCTTCCTTTAACTTAGTTTATAAAAACAATTAACTTCACCCATCCCTCACAGTATGTGTGGTAATTAATGCAGCCATAAAAAGTGGCAATAAAAATAATAACTCAGGGCTGAGACAGATTCATTTTAACTTGAAATCCTGCCAAAAATATGACAGCATGTATTTATTGGGATTGTTTTATCATTGACACTAGAACTCTTCATTTGTGAAAATATAAAAGCAGAATTATTTTTGCAGAAATCTTTGTGGAATATTTGCAAATATAAGTATTTTTATGAAAGACATAAGAAAAAAATCCTAGATTTTTGTTGTGGTTGTTATTCAAATGAGAGCTTCAAATTTAAAGAATAACAAGCTTCCTCCTAGCAGAAGTGCCAGGCAGAGGTTAAGGGCATGGATCCCGAGCCAGACTCCTGGGCTCAGGTCTCAGCTCTGCCCATGTGCTCACGTGCGTGCATGTGTCTAGGTGAGTTGCTAACTCTATCTGTGCCAAAGGGTCCCCTGTGTGTGAAGAAAGGGTGACAATGCTGTCCCCCTGCTCCCCAGGGATTCGCTGAGGACTAAATGAGCTAACACACGTGACACACTGCCAATGGGGCCTGGCACACGGCAAATGTTCATCTGTCATCTACTCTCATTGAATGGGTTTTAACAATTGGCATCTAGTACTTGGAGAGACTTCAGTCTTTGAGTCCTTGGTATGTCAATGTCTCCTCACTGCCGTGTCCTTATATGTAAAATGCAGATGCTACCGCGACTCATGGGGTTGTGAAGGAGTAAGTGACACCCTGCAGAGTGCTCCCCACACGGCTCTCCACTGACCTGGTCAGCTCCCCCTCACCAGGACGGCGTCAGTGCACCATCTCAGCAAGGAAGCTTCTGGAGAATCGCAGATCCTGGGTAACTAACTTTGCCGCTCTTCACCTCGCTATGTGCCAGGCACCGTTCTAGCCACTGGTCACATGTCCCCGCACTTTACAGTAACCCTGGGAGTAGGTCCCCAGACATGAAATGGGGGAAGCCAGTGGCTCAGTCACACAGCCAAGACTGCAGAGCTGATCAGACCCCAGCAGCCTGTGCACTGAACCCCTCCCTGCAGGTCTTTCCTCCTCAGACCTTCCAGGAAACAGAGTATCATTGCTCCTCAGAGAAACACAAAGTGCTGGCCTGTGGGCAGGTTCTGGGCACTCTGCGCCCAGGTGGGGGTGGACTTGCCTTTGATGTTAAAAGGTCGCTGCAGAGCGGCTTCCTGCCCAAGGGGCAAAGGGAATGAAGGACACTTGTTCCTCAGTCAGACTTGGCCAGGTAAGAAATAATGAGGAAGCAACTGACCACATACACTCCCATGGCCGGGCAGCCCCTCGGGTGTTGGGGTGCCTCCTGGGAAAGGGAGTCACCGATAGCTCGCTCTCTACTCCTGCTCAACAGGCTGGAAGACCCACCACTGGAAGACAGTCAGGGGGATGAAAGGGGTCTCCCCAGGGCCGCTCACGACTGTAAGTGCCCCATGAACCAGGGTATGGGTTTTAGCAGGAAGTGGGAGGGGCTGTTAATTCACACAAATGTCCCCAAAGCACTGACTCAGGTGCTAGAGCTAGACTTGCAAGTGTATGTCAGTTTCGTTCTTGCTGAGAGAGCTACTGGAATGTTACTCAAAGGAAAGCCAATCTACCAAATAGGAGAGGACTGTTCAGGTGGGAACAACACAGAAGACCACCAGGACAGTAGTCCAAGAGTGAACCTAATCATCTCCGGTACAGCCATGCAGTGGCAGGTAAGCAAAGGGGAAATGGACCTGGCCCGCCCTGGGACCAGTGAGATGAGGAGGGACAAGGCCGAAGGACCATCTCAGTGCAGAGAATGGCTCTACCAGGAGAGGGAAGACTCCTGGGCAAACAAACATTTCTTCATATCTGTGGGGGCTGCTGGATCTGAGATGGGAGCCCCACAAAGAGAAAGTGGAGAGGATAAAGGGGCAGAGGCAGAGAGAACCTGTGGGGAGACTGGGCACCCCAGATGAAGAGTTACGGGGAACCCAAGAAGAACCCTGTTCCCGAGACCGAGTGGGGTCTTTCAGGTCCGTGGGTGGCGAGTGGAAGTCATGGCTTGTGCTAAAAGATGAGCCCCGGATAAATTATAGAACTTGTACCCCTGATGTCTCAGAAAGCTGAGGAAGAAGGGAACTGCTATTCTGCACTTTGAATCATAGTTTGTCAAGGTGGGAAGGTTGTTAAACCATACAGGGGCACTCCATTCACTTTCCAGAGGTGGCCATGAAATTGAGAGCTGTGCTGTGTGGGCCTGAGCCGTGGAGCATCAGATCAGAGCTTGACATGCCATGCTCTGTCTTCCACAGTAGTGTGCACTCCACTCCACAATGTGGCTGTGACACAAAGGACAGACTGCCTGGTGACGGGCCCAGAGGCAGCTGTGGGGCTGTCCTGGAGTTAAG